GTATGGCAGTCCAGTGTTCTTAACCACCACTCCACCTGCTGGCCCATGGCCCCCTTTTTCCTTCCTTCCTTCCTTCTTTCCTTCCTTCCTTCCATCTTCTTTCTTTAAAATTTCTTTCTTTCAGAGAAACAGAGAGAGGAGGGAGGAAGGAGAGAGATGCACCCAACAGGGTCTTGATGTCATGATCCGTGTCTGACTTTAGCCAGCGCTGATGATCGTGGGCACAAGTACACCTGTCCCTGCTATACTCAGGGACGGCTTTCGGTGTTGATCTGGATCCTTCTCATGTGGGCCAGCCTCACAGAACTTTGCGTTACTATCGTGTTTTGTTAGCTCCCTTTTCTTACCTGCCCCTTCCTTTGCATCTGCCAGTGAAGTCAGGTGGTTGTCTGAAGTCCTCAGCAGGGCACAATCTCCAGTGTAGGATTGTCTGTGGAGACACCATTGTTCTTTATTCCTCTAGCCCAAACAGCAGAGACCATGCCCTTTTCTGAATTAACTCTCCTACTACCTTTGAGAATGCCCTCTGAGGCTGAACACTGCCGGTGGTGTGGCCTGCAGTCCTATTTCCAGGGGGAAATGTGTGATCTTCTGGGCAGATTAAGCTGCTTCCCCAGAGGGCAGGTTGCAAGCCTGACTCCTTATCTGTTTGAGGTTATATATATTTTTTTTTCTTTTTTTTTTTTTTTGCTCTAAGACTGCCTTCTAAGTATAAGAGGTAGCAAAAAATATTTTTTAAGTCTTTTAAGTTTGTTTATTTTTTCTATGAATGAGAGAGACAGAGGGCAACATCCCTAGCAGGGTCACAGTGCCATGAACCATCCTGGCCTCAGCCAGCCCTGGATCATGGGCATACATGTGCCTGTAACACTCAGGGAGGGGGTCTCTGGAACCTTCCCATGTGTGTCAGCCTTGCAAAGCATCACGTTATCACTGCATGACCATCCAGCCCCCATCAAATTTTTCTCATAATTTCTTTTTTTTTTTAATTATTTTATTTAACCTTATGTATTTTTATTTTTTAATTTGACCAGAGGTGGGACAGAGTGAGTGAGTAAGAGAGAGAAAGAGAGAGAGAGAGAGAGAGAAAGTGAGAAAGCAAGCCACCAGGTCTGGGACTTGAACCATGGTCAGACATGTGGGAGTCCAGTGCCCTTAGCCACCATGCCACCTGCTGGCCCCAATTCCCGTCATTTCTAAATCATTTGTTGGATTTCAAAAAAAATTTTAAAGAATGATTTATTTTATTTATTTATTTAAGTTTGGCCAGAGAGGGACATGGGGAGAGGAGAGGAGTGAGAAAGCAAACTACCAGGTCCAGGACTCAAACTGTGGTCGGCCATGTGGGAGTATCCAGTGCCTTAACCACCATACCACCTGCTAGTCCCCTCCAAAATTATTTTTATGATGTGTTGTTGCTGATGTGGCTTTTAATAATTAAAGGAGGCCCATGTCTGGGCCATTATCCAATAGATAGAACTGCATCAAAGTGTTATGATGCCTTTTAGTCTAATTTATAGACTCAGTAGCAAATTTCTGTTAGTATCAGCGATACTATTTATGGTGCTAAATGATCATTCTCAGCTTCAGATGAACTAAGAGCAAATGCATTTTTTAGGTTTTTGGCTCTTATAATATTGTCTTTTATTTTTAGATGTCCAGTGCCTCTTATTGAATGAGTCATGAAAGTAATTTATTGGAAGATATCCATAGTTTTGACATAGATTGGACCTAATCCTTCAGGCCATTTGAGAGGAAGCTTAGATAGGTAATGGGAAGCATGCACTCTGTTGCTGAACAGCCTGGGTTCAAATCCTACCTCTGTCACTTCATTTTTTTTTTTTACTTCAGTTTTAATTTAATGCTTCAATTCCCTCATTTGCAAAACCTCCCTCTCTGCAGTCAGTGCAGGTGGACTATGTTCTGATCATCTTTCATGGCATAATAAACTGCGTCTATTTTGGTTGCTTAAAGCAACAGCCATTCTATTTCATTTCAAGATTTTGTGATTTCACAAGTCAGGAATTTGTGAAGGGTTCGACTAGGTGGTTCTACTGCTTGGTGTGGTATAGACTGGGATTTGTTTCTTGGTGATATACACCTGGTGGCCGGACTGCTGCGGAGGGCTCAAGAGAACTTCTCTTACATACTGAAGTCGGTTGGAAGGGTAGAGCCACCTGGACCCCTTGGCCTCTCTGTAGGGCCTCTCCAGCAGGATAGTTTAATTTCTTACACGGAACCCCAGGATTCCAACGGCCAGTTCAGCCAGTCTTCTTCAGGCGAGGTCCAGAACTGGCACAGTGACTCTTGATGAAAATAGTCACAAGAGACAAAGAACTTGCGGTCATCTTTAATACCCACATGGGGTCACTTGAAATGGGGGAGGGGTTCTAGGACACAAGGCAGCAGTTCTTTACTACCAGTATCAGCTTTAGCATACCGTGAAATTCAGCTCTCAGTGTCTTCATGGTAACAGATGAGGAAATTACCACTTAGAGAGCTTCTGTGATTTGCTGGGCCCTCAGAGACACACACATATAGTGAGGTGCTTGGAAGCATGCATTCTGCTTGCTGGAGCCTATTGGGCCTTCTGAGAGGGTCCACATAAAAGAAACTTGTTCAGGCCTAGCTACAGTGACGTCCACTGGTTGTCACTGCTACCCAGCAGGCTGAGGCTGCATGGGAGGTCCCAGGTTCGAGTCCCAGACCATCTTGAAAGCCAGGGACACTGGTGCATGGTTGTGATCCTAGCTACGTGGGAGGCTAAGGCAAGAAAATTATGATGTTGCGAGACCCTGTCTAGTGAAAAGAAAGAGAAAGGGAAGGAATTTGTTCAGTATTTTCCAAGCGTATGAGACAATGGAACACTTCTTCAGAGTCCCTATTAATAGCCTAATGACACATGCTTTGGGGAACGGCTACATTAAACCTTTGACTTAGGCAGCTTGCTCCCCTTGTTTGGATCCTGTGCTCTTTTTTTTTCTTTTCTTTTCTTTTTTTTTTTTAAGATTTTTGCTATAGGGCATGTATAGTCAGTCGCCAGAGAGACAAAAAGCAAGAAATCACCCCCACCCCCAGCCCCAGGGGCAATGGCCACACTGCAATCCCTTCTCTATTCTCCTCTCAGGATTTTGCACATGTATGCACATGCACCCGGCATGAGTTTAAGCCACTGGGTCTGGGTTGACTCTGGGAGTCCAGCCACATAACCATTATGCCATCTGCTGATTCCAGATCGTGTGCTCTTAATCAGTGGGAATGTGGTTTCTGATGTGGGCCCACCTCAGAGGAAAGATTCTCCTAGTGATGCTGCTGTGAGCATTTTGATCCAGGCAACAGCATTTCTTACTGTAAATGAATACATGATATTGTAGGAGGAGTTTCGTATTGTTGATGTTCTTTTGTTCGTTCTTATTGTTTTTGTTGGTTGGTTAGCTTTAGGCCATAGGAAATATGTAGAATGGTTTCAGAAAACATTCAGACATAGTTGAAAATTCAGAAATGTCAGAACCAAAAGTGTTACTCCTAAACAGGCTTCAAACTCCACTCTCTCAGATGATTAATTCTCTGAAGGGTCCAGATAGCTAACATGGAAACTGAACTCTCTGGGTATAAGTATATTTCAAAAGTATCCTGAGGGTAGCACATTCAAAGGGCATGGCCTGAAACTATGCTTTCCAAGTGTATTCTCAAGTTCTCTCCAAGACTTACCAGTGCTTTTACTATGTCGTTTTCTGCTGGTGAGGGTGGCGAATAGCACCTGGAAGGATGTTTGTGTCTCTTTCCTTTCATTTGTGTGAGTAAAGTGAAAAGTCTTAGAAATTATCTGAAGTGTACGTCTATGTTACCCTAGAATTCCTTCTAATCTGGTAAGGTTTGCTTATATTCTGGAAGCAACTTCATTGCTTACAGGATAAGAACAGGAAAGCATTCTCATTAAAAGAGAAGATATGACATAAGGGAAAGCCAGGACAGAAAGGAATCCCTTTGGACCAGTCTGCCTACTCCTCATAACCGTGATGTCATCAAGGTGTTCATCTGGCATCTGCTGGGGTGGGGGCGTGTATAGACTCTCCTTCATGTGTGGTATACCATCGTGTCTTCCTTGGTGAATGTCAGGTGATCTTGCCTCTGGTTTTTCAGATCTGTGAATAACCAATATTGCAAGAAGGTGATTGGAGGGATGGTGTGGAACCCAGCCATGCGGAGATCTTTCTCAGTGGAGCATTTGGAAACCAAGAGCCTACCTTCGCGGTCTCCTCCTATAACCCCCAACTGGTATGTCCTCTTTTTTGTATTCCTTGCCAGTAAACACTTTATCTCTTTCAAAAATAAAAACCCAACTTATAAATACCTAAGTATAGATGGCCTATGGTCATAGTTTACATTTCCATTTTCAGCTCTTGCAGAAGTAAATGTTTTCATGATATACACAAGTCTAGCTAAACGTTTTCTGTAGTGTGTAAAGCTGAAATGCTCTTTTTTTTTTTTTTTTTTTTAATGTTTTTGCCATAGTGCGGGTGCATTTGCTGGAGAAAGACAAAGAGAGGCAAAGTGAGAAATCACCCCAAGGAAGGTGGCCATACCACAGTCCCTTCTCCTCCATTCTCCTCTTAGGATTTTGGGCATGCACGTGCACACGCACACATGTGCCTGGTGTGAGTTTCATGCCATCCAGTCCAAGACTCGAGCCATGGTTGGCCACATGGGAGTCTAGTACCCTAACCACCACACCACCCAATGGCCTGGAGATACTCTTTTTAAGACACTTTTTTGATCTAAAAAAACGTTGCCTTCTGAAATGCCCTGTTGGAACCATGGTACGTAGGAAACACCAGAAGTCCTGTGATAAAGAAGCCTGTGTAACTTAATGTCACATTTCCCATTGATGTTCTGCAAAGCAAGTTCTGGGGAAAGCCAACGAAGATCCACGATACGCATGTTGTAAGGATGTGAGACTCTCACCAGTCACAGGTGCACATAGGGAGTAGCTCGTGAGTGTTTAAGAAGATGGACTCAGCTTAAAAGGAAGGAAGCGGCAGTTTACCAAAGTGGGACGGGTACTGGGTTTGCAGCTGAAAGACCCAGACTCAGGTTTTGGCGGTTGTTTTTTTCTGGAGAGGTTTTTGCTATAGGGCGCGTGCGCTCGCCAGAAAGACAGAGAGAGACAGAGAGAAAGAAAGCGAGAAATCATCCCCCATGGGGGGATGGCCATGCAGCAATCCCTTCTCCTCCATTTTCCTCTCGGGATCTTGGGCACGCACGCACACGCACCTGGCGTGAGTTTAAGCCACTGGGTCCAAGTTGTGAACTGCAGTAGACTACATGGGAGTCCAGTGACATAGCCATTACGCTAACTGCTAGTCCCAGGTTTTGGCTTTTTTGATAATAAACAAGTATCTTTACCTTTCTGGTCTCAGTTCTCCCCATTTGTAAAAGGGACATAAAAGTTACCACAAATGGGGGCCAACAGGAGGTGTGGTAGTTAAAGCACTGGACTCCCACATGGCTGACCACGGTTTGAGTCCCAGACCCAGCAGCTTGAGAATCATGCAGGGCCTGTGTGTATGCATGCCCCACATCCAAGGAAAATGAAGAGGGATTGTTGTGTGATCATCCCCCTTTGGGGGTGATTTCTCACTTTCTCTCTCTCTGTCTCTCCCCAACAGATACATGCACCCTATGACAAAAATCTAAAATAAACAAACAAAACAAAAAAAACCCAAATGAAATACTAATGTACAAGTACTCCATAAGCTTATTTTTAAAGGGCCAAAGAGAATTACTACTGTTATTATATTGTAATAGTCCCCAAAGACATCAGGTAATTTTTGTAAATGCCTCCAAAAAGGGCAGGTGATGGCAGAAAAAAAAAAAAAAACTAAAAGGGAAATATTGCCCCAGCTCCACACTGGCCTAAGAGTATGGTTTTACAGACAAGACAGACCTGTAGAAACACGCTGGGCACATATGCATGCATACCCCAAATCCTGACAAAGTGGAGAAATAGAGGAGAAGGGATTACAGTATAACCACTCCTCGTTGGGGGGTGCTTTCTTCCTCTCTCTCTTTCTGTCCATCTCTGGCGAGTACATGCATCCTCTGTAAAATTGGGGGGGAAAAAAACACAACACATCATGGCATAACTAAATAGATTTACTCCTTGGTTTCCAATATTTAGACACCTCATCCTAAAGAGGTAAATTTATGCTTTAAAGTAGCAGCCTAATTTATTTGAAAACCTCTTATGCAGTAATGCCAGGGACCCGGGGAGAAGCCCAGGACAAGATCCAGGAGAACAGTGGGGTTAGATGTTGCCACACTCGTGGCTTGGAGCTCTCGCTGCTATTTATAGGTCCTCTCCTGAGGAGTCACAAGAGCCTTTTTACTTCTACTTTGGGCACAGCATTATTGATCATCCAGGTCCAAGGGGATTGCAAATCAGGGAGGCTGTGAGAGTCCCATGGAGAAATGGCTAACTAGGAAAGGGAAGGTAGAAGAATTATAAGAGGAAATAGAGCTTAGAAAACTCGGCAGGCTGGGACCACCCACCACAGGAGCTGACACCCAGGGGCTGTGCTGGATGTCCCAAGGACATTGCCTCATTTGACTCATCCTCAGGTAAGTACAGCTGAGGCCTGGAGAGGTGGCCTAGGCCACACGACTACTGCGATTGGAGAGTAGGGCAGTGCTCTTATGCCTGTCTAATGCCATGTGTTTAATAAGGATTCGATTTTAAAAAACAAAACATTTCCTGTTCATTCAGGTGAAATTTACATAAAGGGATGTAGTTGAAAAAATTTGATTTTTGCTGAGAAATATACTTTGGCTTCTAACCTTTAATTTATATTGTTCAAATGAGGAAAAATTGTCTGATCATTAGTCAGTATGGCCTATTTATGTCTTGAGAGCTTGACCTACCCTGGAAGAACAACTTCCTAAATCGACACTTTTCGACTTCACAAAGGGCATAAATCAATTGAATCCTGACTCTTTAGAAAGGTGAAACCACTGTTCTAAGGACTATACCACTTGAGGGTGTTGGGCATATGTTACCCTGGGTGAATTCTGCAGCTCTAGCAATGAGGTAACAGGCTCTAGATTTTTTTTAAAAGATGTTTTTGCTATAGGGCGCATGCACTCACCAGAGAGACAGAAAGCAAGAAATCACCCCCACCCCACCCTCCAGGGATGGACACGCCACAATCCCTTTTTTCCTCATTCTCCTCTCGGGATTTTGGGCATGTCTGGCCCAAGTTTTAAGCCACCAGGTCTAGGACTCCAACTGCAGTCGGTCATGTGGGAATCCAGTGATGCCATCATTATACCACCTGCTGGTCCCAACAGGCTCTAGGTTGTTTTGTTTTGTTTTGTTTTGTTTTGTTTTGTTTTGTTTTGTTGAGAGGTTTTATCTATAGGCATGTGCGCTTGCCATAAAGACAGACAGAAAACAAGAAATCACCCCTTAGGGGGAATGGCTACCACAATGCCTTCTCCTCCATTCTCCTCTTGGGATCTTGGGCATGCACGCACACACACCCGGCATGAGTTTAGGCCGCCAAGTCTGGGACTTGAGCCGTGGTCGACTATGTGGGAGTCCAGCAATGTAACCATTACACCCATCTGCTGGTCCTCAGACTCTAGATTTTTAATATCAGTCAGGATACCCTTCAGCCAGCACCCAGAGCTAGGTCACTGAAGCTGATAAAATTTTTAAGTGGGATTTACTTTCAACACTGACATCCAACCTTTCTCCCACCCAGGCGAAGTCCTCGGCTCCGGCACGAAATCAGAAAGCCACGCCACTCTTCCGCAGACAACCTTGCTAATGAAATGACGTACATTACGGAAACTGAAGATGTGTTCTACACATACAAGGGATCCCTGTCCCCTAAAGACAGCGATTCCGAAGTTTCTCAGAATCGAAGCCCACACCGAGAGTAAGAAACTTGTGGGTTTTTTCTTTCTTTCTTTATATATGCTTTTTGGCTATTGAGGGATTTGCTCAGGCCCAGGTTGCCATTTGAAGGGGAGTCACCACCGATGGCCAACTCCCTCGAGTGCCCTGCGCCAGCTAAGAACTTTAGTCAGGTGCAGCAGGTGTCATGGTGGTTAAGATGCTGGAATTCCACATGGCCGACCATCGTTTAAGTCCTGGACCTGGCAGCTTGCTTTCTCACTTTCCTTCTCTCTGTCTCCCTGGTCAAATTAAAAGAATAATACTAATAATTAATAAAATTAAATGAATCTTTAAAAAAAGAACGAACGTAAGTCAGACTCCAGTGGGCTTTCTGCCAGAGTTTGCACTTTGTCTATGACAGAGACCTGTTCTCACTCTTGTACCAGCTGGTAGCGTGGTGGTTAAGGTGCTGGACACTCCCACATGGCCAACCATGGTTCAAGTCCCAGACCTGGCAGCTTGCTTTCTCATTTAACACCTCTCTATGTGTCTTTCTCTGGTCAAATTAAAATAAATGAATGAATAAATAAAATTAAAGAAATAATTTTCTTTCAAAAAAAATTTCTGCTTTCAAACTACTCATTAGTCTCTTGGAAGTCTTCTCTCCAGTGAATGAGCTATGTCTAGATTAAATCATTCTGTATTTCAGAAGTACAGGGTCTAAGCCACGGGGACTTCTAGATTATCAAAGTTTTAGCATCATGTGATTTAGATCTTGGGAATGTCTTTACTTCCCAAAGCCTTCTCATACCAAGAGTACACTCTCCAGACCTTTGTTTTGTTTTTAATACTGGCAGGGCCTGGACAGTGGTACAGCTGTTAACACAATGCTCTGGGAGGTTCACCAACATGGGAAGGTTGCAGGTTCGCATCTGGAGACCTCCTTGAACACATTAAGTACATGTGTGCCCACAGCCTGGGGCCGACTGAGGCTGAAGGGAGATCATAGCATAAGAATCCCATCGGTCCCTGTTGGGAGTGTTTGTCTCTTTTTCTTTCTCATGAAAGGAAGGAAGGAAGAGACATAAAATAAATTAGGAAAAATAGTATAAAGAAAAAAGTAATAGAAAGACTATCTTTGATTTCCCTTGTCAAATTCTTTCAAGGGCAGTTTGCACTTAAGTCCTCTTATGTCCAAACATAATTTTTAGCTTGTTGATTGGTTTGAAAGTTTATTTCTTCCATAAGAGAGAAAGATGGAGAGATAGGTACGCACAGCAGGGTCTTCATAGCACGATCCACCTTGCCTCTCAGCTAGCCAGGGTCATGAGCATGCACATTTCTGGACCCATGATGTGAACCCACAACCTTTCAGATGTGGGTCCAGTTGAATTACCACCATGCCATCACCTGGCCCCTTTCTCTTTTTTAATGTAATAAATTCTCCTCATAGCTCAGGGCCAGAAATCAAAAATATGTCTCTCCTGAAAGGCTGGCTTGATTTATTGTTATTTGATAAAGTATCTAATCTGTTAGTTTCCTTTTTGCCTTGATTACCAGGGAACTCAGAGCTACATTTATGCTCAGGTGTATTTGCTTGCCTCAGACCAGATTTCTGATATGGTCCCTTCTGTAATTTTCTTGTCATTATTATATGAGTCTTGCTATGTTTCTTGTTTTCATGAATTCATAGGTTCTTTTTTATAATCTTTTCTTTTTTTTGAAGAGATTTTTGCTATAGGGCACGTGCACTTGCCAGAAAAACAGAAAGAGACAGAGAGACAGGAAGCGAGAAATCACCCCCCGGGGGGGATGGACACGCTGTAATCCCCTCTCTTCCATTCTCCTCTCAGGATCTTGGGCACACACGTACACGCACCCGGCATGAGTTCATCGTTCTATCTATAGATTTTAGGGTAAGCTGTCTCAAATAATTTTTTGAAGTTGAGAAGTCATAGGTTATAAAGTAGGCTAAACTATGATAAGAAGGGACAAACTGTTAGGAAGTCATTGGTACCCATTCTGTTACGCCACATTCTATGCCCAAAATATAGAAGCATAATGTCACCCTAACAGCAAAGGATTAGCAAGCGGACACTGGAGTTAATCTGTAAATTTTTACCACCATAGCCACTAGGCTTAAAGCATTAAATGCATCCTGCTTGCACTCTAGGCAGGTGCATTGCTAATCTCCTTCCCACTTCTGTGTGAGGCTGCGCCCTCTCCTCTGTCCCTGTTTTCAGCTTATGTGTGTTCTTAACACCTCTGGCTAAAAATCCCCATGGTCATTATTCCTGGTGACCTGAGGTCTGGTGATGCTTTCATTGAGATGATCACTGTCTTTTGCTCCAACTTGCAGCCTGCTGCTCCATTGTCCAGGCTATAATGGGCAGGTGTGAGTTCCTTTGTGTGACCCTGTGGCCTTGCAAACCACAAGCCCATCGAGAAATACAAGGCAGGAGTCCAGGCATGTCCTACTAGGGCCATTTTGAGTCTGCTATGGGACTCTGTTCAGCAAACAGAGAAGAGGATTGATTTAGGGTGCTATCCGAGGGCACCTCCTGCATCAGAGCTTCCCACTGTGGCTTGCAGTCCCATCACAGAATTGTGTCTAGACCTTCGTGGGCTAGTACAGAAGCCAACAGCCACAGAAGTTATTCAGACCAACGTGAATTAAAGTAGAATGAAATGGAAACTGGTTCCCTAGTCACACACACAGCCTCATTGCAAGTGCCCCTAGCTTCCTGAGGGTAGTGGCCGCCCTTGTGGACTGTCCACATGCTCCATATAACCTATTCCATCTTGCAGCAAGTGCCAGCAAGGGCTGTCAGGACTAGATGTTTATTCTGTCATTGCTTTAGAGTGTAACGAGCCCCTGTATCCACAAGCAAAAGGGTGTCTCTCACAGGGAAGGGGACAGTGAGTGGGTTGTGGTCATCCACTGGCCTGCTGTGTCAACACATACTGCATTCGCCTGCCTGCTTACCCATGGAGCCGGCTGGATGGGCAGGTGGCCCCTGAGAACCCCTCAGACCCTATACCCTCTGGTGTCTCATCATGCGGCTTGTGCCAGGAGCCAGGAGGATCCCTTCTGCCCCGAGATGTGTGCACATCTTAACGAGAAACATTGGTTCCCAAGCCCAGCAGTGCACTTTACCCGTTTGTTGCTGGTCATCGAAAGGATCATTGAGGTGGATTAAACAAGTCTTTGCCTCCAAGCCAGCTGGGCAAATGGTGCGTTGTCAGCCCTCATGTTACATTCTGGGCTCTCTGTCACTTTGGTGGAAGGAGAGGAGAGTTTAAGAACTTCTGAGGATCG